GTGCCCTCGGAGCTGGTAGATCGCTATGGCGTCGCCGCGACCACAGTTTTGTACGCGGCGGTTGCAGCGAACGTTAGTTTATTTCCTTTTACAATCTCCGTGCGCTTAGCTGCGCACGCACTTTCATAACTAAGTTGTTTTATGCCATCTACAATCGCATCTGCTACAGTTTTGTTCAAAGAGTTTACGACAAGCAGCGCTGCTTTGACTGATTGAGCGCACACTTTCGGGGTCCTGTCAGTTACGTTGTCACCATACATGATCATGTCAATAGCGACCGCGGTTTCGTCCACAGCGGTTGTGGCAATGACAATCACATGCACTGTAAAAGACAGCGCGTGCTCTGGTCGCAGGCATACTTCCAAAGCTTCGAGTACGCTGCTTTCGGCCTTTGTTCGACGGTTACCATACTAAAGTTTATATCACCTGCCGGGATAAGAAATGTGTTTGGTACATTCGAATTTAGGCTCAATAGACATAGTGGAATTATTTTTCACAAATTTGTATCTGCTGCGGTTCCACATCACTGAGCTTCTACTGTACGTTTAGATGAACATCTCTTATATAATAAAATGGGATAAGTTCGAAAACCCTGGAGTGGACTGAGCTGCTTTTTTGTCAATGTGGCCAGATCACGCACAGAAATTTCGATTTCAGGGAGATTTTCATGACAACCGCACAAACGAAAGAAACGGTCGATATCCGGGAGACTTGACAGGTATGAGCTTGCCATGTACTTTCCTAGACAGAAAAAATAGAGAATTTGGCAACTTAATTCCACCTTAAGCATGTGAAAAGCCCTCGAAGAATCCATATATGTACATAAATATGCCATTATTTTCACAGTCCCATATTTCTGTTAGCTTGCCACAAATATCACTTTATCTTGTGAATCCCATATTGTAACTTTTTTGGCGCGCACAAAATACAAAACAAGAAAGAGGCAAGGGGGTGCTAATACCGACTCAATCTGTTTTACTGCCATAAATGTACTTTTAAAAAAATTGGTGCTGGTCACCCCCTAAGCTCCGTTGGCATAAAATTACAGATACCAATTAATGCATAGAAAAATTTTGTAGAACAGAAATGAACATGCACAACACGTTTCTAATTTTTCCAACTATCTCTGTGATGGTTGGGAGAATGATGGTTGATTTCGCATAGAATGACCCATAAGGGGCAGTGCAGGTGGAGCTTTGCTTGCGGCCAACTGAAAACTTAGGGCCAAAGTCTGCTTCACCATAGTCATAAGGGAAGATAAACAGGATCGCCGAAATGTTTTGTGTCTTTGATACGGCTTTCTTGCTTTTAATTTACGGCTGTGCTAGCCATGTACGTCACAGAGCTCTTAGTCGCTATCGATGATTGCATTGCAGTGACTGCGGTTTCGTGTGCAGCAGTTGTGGCAGACGGTGGTTTCGTTTTCAATCCACATGTGCTGGCTATGCATGTGCCTTCGAAACTAAGCCAATCGTGGCTGTATATTATAGCATCTATTGCGGCTTCGACGGCAGCACCGGTGGCAAGCAGCTGTTTTGACTGGGTGAGTGTTTGACGCACCCGCGCTTTCACAGTTCTCAGCTTCATTGTCACTGTACACGATCGCGTCAAGAGTGACCACTGTTTCGTCCACAACAAGTGGTTGCAGAAAACGACAGCCACAATTTTGAGAGTGTGTAAGCTAATTGCACACGCTTTTTTAAAACTTCCAGCACGCTGCTCTCGGCCATTGCATGATGGTTTGATGCAAAAGTTCCAGTCGCATGCCACAAAGTGGCAAAAGGTTCAGAACATACGAATTTCGACTTACTCGGCTGAGGAATTCAGCTGAAGAATTTCGAATTTGTATCAGTTGCTCCTAAATCAATGCCTCATACATTGGTTTACCTTATAAAGTTATCGGTTCACAAAATGCCGGACTAGCATTGGGTTGAACATTTGTCAAGGCAGCCAGATCACACACAGAAATTTGGTTTCTCGAGAGACTTTACTGGCAACTATAGAAACAAAAGAAGTGGCCGAAATCCGGGAGTTTCCCAGAAAATCCAGAAGACTTGGCAGGTATGAGACTGTGAAGCATTTTTAATAAAAAGAAACGTAATGCATGTGTCAGCCTACCTTCACGAAGTCTGCTGGATGGCAAACTTTAATCTGCTGCAGCAGTTTCCGTGGCATACCACAGTGACTTTTTTGTTTTTGTGGGTTCACGTGAGTCATCTGCACAATTGTGCACTCATGAGCACCATCTACAGAGGAACACCGCTGTTAAGTTCTTCACTGCTGCGTTTTCTCAACTGTTACGTTGTCTTTCATTGGTCCCGGCATAGCTCTCATAAAAACCCCACATATTGTACACACTGCTGTTACGTCGTGCAGGAACTGTGAGAACGTTCCAGCGTGATGCGTCGCAACCTAGTCCGCCGAACCAGCCCGGGCACTGCCATTTTGATTTGACGTTTACAGTCTTAGCCTGGCTTGGCTACGAAACAGGCTGCAAGAAGCTTTTAGCAGGTTGGAGAGGCCACCCATAGATGGCCATATATGAAAAGTGCTATCACCATCATTATTGTGCTTAGGCATTATTACAGCCTACTTACAACGGAAGTTTCACTACGAAATGCTGGAAGTGCGTGACAGTCCCACCGCCCCACCCCGCAAGTTGTGATTCGTCTTTAGCTGCTGTTGTGTGCACTAAACCTGTTACCGTTGAACTTGTCAACGCGATCTTTGTCAAGCCTTAATGATGTCACGTAAATGGAAAGTGCTTTCCCTTGAGGAAAAGCTGGACGTACTTAAAGCTACCGACAAACAGCCAGCACAAAAAAGGGTCGACAGTGCCAAAGACTTTGGACTGCCACCATCAACGCTCAACAGCATCGTCTCGAAGCGTGATGAGATTGAACGCATTGCTGCTCTCATCAGCCCGAAAGGCAAGCAAGCTCGTGGCGCTAAGCACAAGAAGCACGACGAGGCTCTTCTCACCTGGTTCAAGAAAGCTTGCGCTGCCGACATCAGCTTCGACAGCCACATTTTACGCGAGAAGGCGATGAAAATAGCCAATAGACAGGGCATCGCTGATTTCACAGAGTCAAATGGCTAGATCGACCGTTTCTGCAAAAGGCACGGCATCGCTTACAAAACAATTGGAGTGGCAGACAATCGCAGAGTTTGCTGGAAACTCGCTCGCAACTGAAAAAGGGGACATCGATGACGAGCATGACCCACACGATTCTGATGAGTCGCCAGCGGAGTCGGTCGATCTCAACTTTGGAGAAGTCGTCGCGGCCCTAGACAACCTTCACAGGTACGTCGCACACCAGAGCGACGCTGTAAGCAATGCGGCCTTCCAGATTATTTAGAAACGTGTGGTGCTTATCAGCAAGCGAAAGAAGCAGCAGTCAACTATCTTCGAATATCTTAAAGGGCCACTCACCAGGTTTTACAATTTTGAGCTGATAAGCACAATGCGTAAATGAGGCGTTCACGATCATGTCTGCCGAAATTTGCAATGCTACCCACCGTGGAAATGGGTCAAATTTTAAGATGAACGCTGCACCCCCTTTTTTTGCGGACGTGCGCCCAGAGAATGAGGGCATGACGTGCGCGTATGAATGGCTCTACGTACATGGCAATGCAGTGACGTTCGTCCTCTACATAGACCACTGTGCTCTCACGTTGTCAACAGTGGCACGTAACATGGCGAAAATGATTTAACACGACATGCATAGTTTATGTATTTAATGCTTGAAGAGATTAATAAATCTTTAGATAAATAACGAGACGCAATAAGAGAATATGAGTGTTCTTTTTTTAAAACTTTTTTTCCTGTGAATTGCAACAATACTCGCGACTAATGTGCTGGCATTTCGCATGCGTTCGTGTCTCCACGGTCAGCACATTGAGCAGACGACAGCCATAGAACGCTCCACGCCTTCGCGCACTCATCTATTCTACCGCGTTTGAGCTAGCGTTTCCAAGCCATCCCGCAGAAACAGGCAGTAGACCTCGAAACAACGCTGGTGAAAAAAAAAAAAAAAAAAAAAACGCTGCTCGCGTGCACGAGGGTCGGGCTTTTTTGGGCACGTCATGCGCATGTGACCTTTTAGTTGAATGCCAGCAATGGTAGGGAAGAGATTTGGCTTGCAAAGGCTTCGCGGAGGAGCAGAGAGGGTTTCGAGCCCGCCTCCTCTCATCCTCGTTTCGCGGCGCTTCAAGAAAAGTTTTCTCAGCTCACAATAAACCGATTAAAAAAATTTTGTGGTAAAATGTTTCTATCGGACACCCAACAACTTCCACGGTCTAACTAAAACTTGGTATGGGGCCTGGTGAGTGACACTTTTAAGTCCTAGGCTCACCATGCCAAAATAAATTGTTTGTAGTCAAAGCGCCTGTGCTCTCAGTCATTTTCAGAGCTTTCCTCACTCTTGCATTTTCTTAGCTGTTACGTTTTTCCTACCCAGTCCGCAGAAAAATGTATGAACGGGGTTCCACTGATTTTCATTTCTGCTCTTTTTTTTCCTTTTTGTAGTATATTCTCCCTCCTCTTCTTGCGTTCACGCGAAGAGGTGGCAGAGTGCTGCTTCCACATCGATTCTCCTGTCTTGTTTACCTCTCTGCAACAGCTTGTATATACTGCTGGGCGCGTTCAGTCCGTTGCACTCTTCTAGCAGCGCTGAGTGGTAATTTTGTGACACACACATCTTACTACACATAAATTGGAAAGGGGTTACATTAGCAATGCACAACATATACACAACTTCACACACAAATGAAACATACATGAAAGCTTACAAATGAAAACACAAGCGAACACTAGCATTGCTTTGCATCCCCACATAGCTCCCTTGAGTGCAAGATGGGGCAATTTTTTTTGCCTGTTGCTATTTTCAACACTGTGAAGTTATTTGATCGTGTCATACAAATTGACTGAACTTCAGTGCTAAACAGACTCCATCATACCCCAGCTACACAATAAAGGCAGCAGGGACACAATAAATTACCTGGCACCATTCTGTTTGACCTGGACCCTGGTGTCACGCTCTCCAGCAAGCAGCTCCATGCAGAAGTTGCGGAAGGTGTTCTCGATTATGTTCACCTTGCTCACCACACACCGAACATTCTTCACCTTGTCCAAGTACACCTGAACCATGGAATGAAACCGTTTTCTCGAGTAAAACTGCAGTTGCACAGCTGCAGTGAACATGTGTGAGCAAGAACAGATCTTAGGTGCAACAAAAATGTAATTGGTTTGTGACTGACAGTAGAGGATGACCACCTTGCTGCTACCAAAATGCAGCAGTGGCAAGGTTCAATGAGTTAGGAAGGTCAACGCAAAGATGATCATTGGAAAATTACCATCCATAATGAATCTTCAACTTTCCTGCTATAGATTCTCTCTAGCAATCTTTCGCTATATCCAAAAGGAAGAAACAGTAGCTGATACAAGTTCACAATCATATAAATCGCTTCATGATTTCGCACATTTAAGTAACATGCTCCAGTGCAAAGCCAAGCTATGAATAATATGCAGATAAAAACCTGGCCACTAAAAGCATAGTCATGAATGAAAGAGCTGTGTTTAGCTTCCACACATCACCACCAATTGTCTTACCAAGAAGGCAGTCGTATGTGGCATCAAATGAATGTTCAACAATTCGAGCGATCATCGCCAACATAAAAAAAACAACGGAGGGACAATGCATGGCACTTTCTCTCTCTACACATGTGCGCGCGCGCACACACACACACACACACACAACACACACATATTGTCACGGGGTTGTGACGGGGTTGAAGGCAGGAGACGGAATGGTCAGATCAAACTGTTTATTTGGGCGAACTTGTGCCCGCTAAACAAAAAGTCAGGTTAGTTACGGTAGAACACTTGCACTGATAGCGGTGCATGCAGCGTCGGCCGTCGATCAAGTGGCAAGCGGCAAAGCACGTCGGCATTTATACTCTTGCCATCGAATGTTCTAGCGTTATCGCTAGCGGTGACGTAGATTCCAGAATAATCTGTACAGTTCGTGCAATTGGCGTGATCTTATCAAAATGATCTACTACAGTCCTGAAGCTTCTCGAAAACTGCAGGCGTGGTTTGCGCTGAGAATTGTGTAGTGTATTGGGGCGATAACAAAACTTCAGAAAATGAAAGTGTTAAAATGATACCTTTTCAAAGGCTTTGATCAAGCAAACAGCAAACGCTAGATAATGTGCTGCCATTTGTAAGGAATTGTGAGACTTCTTATGGCGAACGTGCGGCGCATATCTTGGAGGCAATGCGATTCTTCGCATGCTGACATCGGTCCTAGGTAAAACTACAGTGACGGCAATGCTCTGTTACACGTCAGATGGGCACAAGCTTCGCCCGTACCTCATATTTAAATGGAAGACGCTCCCGAAAGGAGTCGTTTTTTCGAGTGGCGTGATCGTGCGGGCCAGCGAGAAAAATGGGTGTGCATTGCAATCGATGTCTTACATTGTTTTCTTTCGTCGTGGAAATCGGGTGCACGTTACAATCGAGGGCGCGGTAGAATCGAGTAAATACGGTAGTCATTTTAAATGCCATACATTGAGCTTTCACTCTGATGTAAATTGCTATTTGACTTTAGTATCGCTTTAAGCATCATGTCTGTGAGCCAAGGTCTGGGTTGTGCGGAGACACACATCTTACGAACTGCAAGGAATGCAAGGAGCGCTTTGAGGTGCTGTATGTGGTGCGACGTCGTCGACAACGCGCAAAAAAAAAAAAAAAAAAAAAACTGAAGGCGGCTTGGGACAACGCCGGCAGGGCTGAGCGTGGTCCCGAGCTTGCATCCTTCACTCTAACTCTCAGCCCAGTGGGTGCTCCGCTCCCTGTCCAGGGAACACTCTTGGTCGGGGACTCGGGCAGGTACGGCTGGGCAGCAGTCTTGGCATCGTGAGGTGTCGGCGCTGTCCTGCAGTAGAAGTTGCAGGCAACCTGAGAAGTATACAACATGGGCGGATTAAGCCAAGAATCACCCAAAGCCTGGGCCTCCTGAACGAAGAGGCCAGTCGCCGGTGAGAGGCAGGTCAGAGCATGTTGTAAATCACTGCATGCAAGCTCTCGTGGCCGAAAATACGCAGTTGAGCAGTTGAGGAGGGACTTGGTGGAACTCAAGGCCGCTTTTGAGTCATTCAAAGAGAGCGCACAAGGCGATTGTAAGGAAGATAGTCCCCTTTGGGGTAAATTCGAGCGCAGAGCCCTGGCTCCTGCTGAGGAGCAATTGGAAAGTACGGCTGCGATTGCGGCAGTAGAGTTGGAAGCTACACCGTCTTCTGTGATGAGTGGCGTAGATGATAGATTGGTACGTATGGAGACAATGTTAGATCGTATGATGGATGTTCTGCCCTCTTTGGAGGGTAGGATGACTGTGTTGGAGCATCCAAAGCTTCTTGCTAAGGGTAGGCATGAGCTGGTAGCCGAATCGTAGTTGTGGGATCCCGGTCTTACCAGGGAGAAGAGCGCGACTAATCATATAATGGTGTGCGCGTCATAAACATGGCAGGGACGCCAGGAACATTTAAGATCTGGCTGTGGAACTGTGCCAGTTTCAGCAAGGGTACGGCTGCACTGGTGCAGCTGATCCAATTGGCAGAAAATAAGTCAGAGATCGTTCTCTTACAGGAAATGTTGATGGGGGAAAATTTGACCTTTCCCGGATACCAAGCTGTCGCCAGCTGTGGAGACAAGGAACGGGCGATGGCAATCCTGGTTGTGAATGGGGTGGTCTTTCCTCGTGCATGATATACCTCCGTACAAGTCTGGGCTTGAAGCCGAGTTGGTGGAGATTATGCTGCATCGCAAATGTCGTACCTGCATATTTGTTCTGAATATATAGTTCACCCTCAGACAGGCAGAGAGGCTTTGGGATTTTGCTTTTGGCTGCAATTCAGAAAGCTGGGGTAAGGCTTGGGTTGTTGCAGGAAATTTAACGCTATCAATATGGAATGGGAACATGCCTGCAGTACTGTTAAGGGTACGCGTTCAGTGAATTGGGCCTTGCAGTTTGGGTTTACGCTGATCACGAATCTTAGCTTTCCGAAGAGACGGGGAGATTCAGTTGAAAGAGATACCACTCCTGGTCTGGTATTCCTTAGGGATGCGGACGTGGAGTGGGGTAACCTGCAGGAGGACTTAGGCAACGATCACTACATTCTGAAGAAGCTTATTTGGATATGGCCACAGATATGTGGACTGGGATCTTTTCAGGAGTATTGGGGAAAGATGCTTCGGATGACTGATGATGTTGCAGGGCTTCTCTCTCGGCTGCAACGGGCAATAGAAAGGGCTACGAAAGAGATAGAAATGCAGCTGAAAGTTTTCAAAATAGATTCAAAATTGGCCCACTTACTGGGAGCTAAAGATGGCCTGCTAAGTCGGTAGCATACACAGAGGCTTAATAGGAGGCTAAGGGCGAGGATATCCTTGCTCAATAAAGAAATTGAGAGTTACGCGAAAAAGCTTGGCCGGCAACAATGAATGGAGAAGTGTAATGAGACGGACAGCCAAATGCACAGGAGTAGCAAGGGAGGCCTGTTCAAGAGTCTCCTTAATGACAAGGCGTCAAAGGAGCCAGCTTGCCTGGCAACCAATCGCATCATTAGGAAGCAATTGCATATGGGAATGACGGAGGCAGATATGGCCCATGATCTTGCCACCCAGTACCTGCCTCATAGAAAGGGAAATGTGACTGGGGATCATGTGTTGAGCGATTATGGAGGTGCGGACCGGCCGGAGCTTGATGCCCCTTTTATGGTGTCAGAAATCAGGCATGTTCTGTTTAACCTTAATGGTAAATACGCTGCTGGTCCGGATGGGATCACAAATAGGCTCTTATGTAACCTTAACGATACGGCGATTGAAATTCTTAAAAAAAAAATTGTTGACGAGTGGTCTACTGGGAAGGTGCCGTTTGAGTGGCATACTGCCAGGGTAGTCCTCATCCCTAAGACAGGTAAGCCTTCGCATGCAGACAACCTGTGTTCGATTTCACTAACGTCGTGTCTGGGCAAGGTTGCAGAACATGCGATTCTTAATCAGGTCACGGAGTACGTAGCGCAACACGAACTCTTCAGACACAATCTCGTCGAGTTTCAGCGAGCGCTGTCTACACAGGATGTCCTTCCATTGAGCGGGCCATTCTAAATAATCAATAGATAATCAAATGCGTGATGTCAAAGGGGTCTTGGCGTTGGAGTGTTTGACACGGTTGCTCATGAGCACATCCTGAGAGAAATCTTTTGTATGAGTTTGAGACGGAAATTTTATCAGGTGGAGAGCACGTCTTAGGTAGGCTTGTGTGCATAGTGAATTTTAGATTCGAAGCGAATAGTGATTCCGGTCAAATAATTTCTAATGGAATTCAAATAGTATATAAGAAACATAAAAAATAATGGCACATATATTATGACCTAACTTATCTGGCCAATATGAAAAAAAAAATGAAATAAGGCCTCTATGCAAATGCATTTTTTTCTTTTCGTATAAAAGAAGTGGAAACAACTTTGAGTAGTTTGGGTGGTTTGAGTAGTTGGAGGATTAGTCTTTCAGTAGGGTGCGAGTAATAATTTGTAAAATACATAACATTTTAAAATTTTAAGCATATAAGCCGCTGTTAACAAGCTTTTAAGCTTAAAGAATGATGAATTTGTTTGAGGGCAATATGTTCATTTTAAAGGCCCTGCAACACTTTTTCGAGTAGCCATGAAATGGATTCAATAAAGAAGCTTACTGCCTCATGGATTCACCGCCACAAAAAGTTTTAGAATCCATCCAGTACGAGCAGAGTTGCAAAGATTTGTCCCATGCTGCAATCGCATTCTCTCATCTTTAAACCCGACAAAAGCGCTGAAGGCTAAGCAGGGAGAGATGGCATGGGGAAAGAAAACACGCCACACACACCTCGTGACCTTGAGCACTTTTTCTTTTTTCTTCAAGTAGGCGGCTTTCCAGTGTGATTGCGCACATACGCGTGGACCAGTGGCAGCCTCCCGCGGAGGCCCCAGTAATGATTTAGCACGTCGTGCTCAAATCAGTCAATGGCCGATACAATGGCTTTAACCAAGAATTTTTGAGCTTGTGCCGTCATTTGGCGAGAAAAGAGAGCAATGTTTAGC